CCAGATAACATTGAAGATGGACAGGGAGGTTCCTGAGATGGGCCGCTAATGCTGCGAGGACCTTGGTAAAGGTCCTGGGGGCAGAGGCTAATCCAAATGGAAGGGCCACGTATTGATAGTGATGATGGTTATAGCAGAACCTTAGAAATTTGTGATGGGAAGGCCAAATGGCGAAGTACGGCTCTGTCAAGTCTATGGATGTGAGCCATTCCCCTTGTCTGGTTCCCAGGAGGATGGATTGCAATGTGTGCATTTTAAATTTGCGATATAACAGATAATGGTTGAGTCGTTTTAAATCCAGTATCGCCCTCCACCCCCCCGAATGTTTTGGGACTACGAACAGGTGAGAGTAAAAACCCCGCCCTCATTTTGCGGTCGGAACAGGTTGGATGGCTCTTATATTAAGGAGATGCTGGATAGCGGAATCCATTAGATCACGCTTAGTCCGGTCTCTGGAAAGAGGGCATGACATAAAGAAATCGGGGGGGGGGGGGGGCTGGAACTCAAGGGCAAGACCGAATGTAATTGTGTCCCTGACCCAGGCGTCAGGGGTAAAGGAGTCCCATTGGCTGGCAAAAAATTTAAGACGCCCGCCAATGGGAAGGGAGTGTGGTGGCCTATCTTGGACGCCGGAAAGGCCTGCTACCTGTTCCCCGAAAGGGCCTTTTGTAATTACTGCCCCTTCTTTCCTATCTCCTGAGTAGGCACAATCCTGGGGTTGACCCGACATGAAGGCTGGGGGCCTTTGGTACCTGGGGGAGAAGGGAGCCTGGTAGAAGGGCCGAAAGGACCCTCTCCAAAAGGGCTGTGAGGTTCTGGATTCTGACCTCCGTGTAAGGGAGGGGAGGAATTTTTTCTTATTGCATCAGTAAGAGGTCTAGGGACGGGCCAAATAATTTGTTTCCCACAATGGGAGCAGAAGCCAATTTGACCTCGTTTTTAATGTCTGCTTGCCAATGTTTCAGCCAGAGCAAACGGCGGGCTGTAACGTGTGATGTGATTGCTCTTGTGGAGAATTTGACAGAGTGGTATGTGGCACCGGCAGAGAACTCTGCTGCAGCCGTGAGCTTGGCGATGTCCTGATGCGCCCTGACATTGGATGCAGGGACGTGTTGTTTGAGCTGACGGAGCCATTGAATAGATGAACTTGTGAAAAAGGATGCGGTCATAGCCAATTTGATGGCCCAGGCATCCGATTGGTGAGCCCGGCGCAAGGCCAGCTCGGCCCCCTTCTCCTCTGGCTTCAGAGCCTCCAGTGCATCACTCGGGGTCGAGGAGGAGGCTAGGCCCACTATGGGCTCGTCAACCTCAGGGGTACTCAGTAATTTAGAGAATTCTGGGTCCAAATTGAAAAATCTCTTATCGTGGCCAGACAGGGCTGGAGGCGCCACTGTAGAGGCCAGCTGTTTCATCACCAGATCAGAAAAAATGGGTGGAATTGGGATAACCTCGGCCTCCCCCATGGACTGTTTAAAGATAGAGTCATCTGGGCCCTCTGGGATTGGAGGAGGGGGGTCAGAGGGTGACTGCGTATTTAGGCCCGAAATGTTCTTGGCCTTGAATAGTAGGGACTTAAATAAGTGTGGCTTGAACAAGCCCATGAAGGCGGGCTGATTGGGGGTAAGACCCTCGTCCTCGGACATCTCCCCCTCCAGTGGATCCACCTCTGATAGGGGTTCGCTGTACTGCATAGACCCTAAATCAAACTCCTCATCTTCCCTGATCTGGTCCAGTTCCCCTTCCTCCTCCTCCCCTTCTGTAAGGGGGATCTCCCTCTGCAAGTGTACCTGGCCATGGAGTTGGTCCGAGCTGGACAAGGATCTTACGCATTGAGACTCAGGTTCAGAAACCGTTGGGTAGTGACCAGGCCTGGCTATTTGCTGGAGTCCGGCCGTGATCCCTTGGCGGATAGCCAACTCCATCCAGGATCTTACTCTCTCTTCTCATCTATGAGTGAGTCCTCTTGACGGAGGCCGGCTGCTGTAGGGGTGAAGGTGGCTTCAGGGGCCCTTCTAGCCGGTGTTCCAGGAATCAGAGCCTGTTGTTCTTGGGAGGGCAAGCTGCACCTGGATAAGGAGGAAAAATCTAGAGGAGGGGGGGTGAGCGGCGGTAGAGGGAGTAGTGGGTGGGAGGACTGGAGGCACTGCAGGAGCCTCTTTAGTGCGTCTGCTAATCTCTTTTTCCAGGGCCTTGTGGCGCCTTAAAGCATCCCTCTGGGAGGCTTTGGAGGTTTCTTTAGCCTGCCTGCGCAAATGATGGTTCTTGGCTTTTGCCTTGAAAGAAGGTCTTCTGGAGGTGTTACCATCTGCCATTTCAATGAGTAATATGAATACTGCAGAATATGTTAGGAATCAAGTTGAGGCGGTTGGCATGCCCAGGGGCCAATCTGTGGTAAGACCGGGTGCCCTGATAATTATTTCACGCCCCCCTGGTTTTTTTTGTTTTTGTTTTTAAACTTTTAATTAT